CATTTATTCTAATAGGTATCACAAAGAAGAGGATATACGTGAATTACCTAAATTATTCTAATTGGTTTCACAAAGAAGAGGATATATTTGAAATATGTATAATAATTGTATAATCCATGATTTTAATTCAATTTTAATATAATTATGAAACAAATCTAATTCAATTCTAATATAGTTGCAGAACAATTCCAAAATCTTTATCTCTTAAAAGTTTTAATTTGAAATTTCTCCAAAAATCAATGTTAAACATAATCAATCTCCCTTAAAATTAAGATACAAACTCCAATTGTTATTTTTAATAATATGGAAGAACAAATTATTCAAACTCATCATAATTATGTAAAACCCACATAATAAATGGAAAAGCTTGAAGTTTTTTATGGTCATCAATGGTGAATTCTTCCTATTGTAATTTTATAGATTTTAAATCTCGATTTGCACATACAATTTTGTACAATTTTTGGGTCTTTATATTATTTTTCTTGTGCTATTTTGGGAGAAAATCATGCAACATATGTATAAATCAATTTGAAAATATGAAACTTATAGATTGTTATCTCTTTTCTTTTTTAAAATAATATTTGAAGATCGTTATTTGAATAAAAATTTTAAACAAGAAGAAAAGAGAAATCATATGTAGAGAAAGAGACACAAACACGAAATAAATGAGTCATACTGCTTTACAATTTTAATTCCTTAAAATTCCCAAATTTATTTAAAAAGAAACTATTGTCATAAATGGTAAATATTTTCTCAATATAGCATATCTAAGTGATTTATCCGAAAAATAAATTGGCCTCTATAAATACACTTATAACGACAGGATTTGGATCCCTTTATTAAGAAATGGTCGTCAAAGAACAAGTTTCTTCTAGTAGAAGCAATTGATGTGACAAAACGATGTTGAACAAGGAATATGGAGATTAACTTCAAAAATAAGTATTTTAATCACCTTATTCGTTCTTTAACATCGTTTTTCCAAATCAATTTCATCGTCGATAACTCATTTTTCTCGAGATTTTTTCAATGTAACTACCTTATTTATCAAAAAAATAAATTAAAGTTTTCTAAATTTTTGCTTTGGGTAAAGAATAAATAAAGAATAAAATTGGAGTTTGATCAATTTTCTTTCGTTTTTGGGTTGTACTGCGGTGGTTCTTATCACTGTCAGTCATATTAGAAAAGTGATGTGAAATGGTGCAATGAAAATGGTGGTGTGGTTTAGTATACATCTTAAGAAATCTATTTATAGGGAAAAATGGAGAAATTGGTGAAAAGCTAATTAATGTAAAGATAAGAATTTGTGAATACATTTTTTTTTCTTTAGATTTTCTTAAAATAGTCAAAATGTTATTTATTAGATTTTCCCAAAAATTAAAAGTCTTATTATTTATTTTACTAAGTTCTTTTTTGGGATATTTTATTTAATGATGAATTTAACTTAATGAGAAACATGTATTAGTCAATATAGTAGTTAAGCTAGTTTGTTAGTGATTAAAGTGGTCAAACTATTAAATTTATGAATTGTCTACATCATTAAATTTTGTTATATGTATATCTTATAATGTGATAAGTACATATTACTTGAAAATTAATGAATAGTTGACTAATATAATTGTTAAAGACTATTGTTTAAAAGTGAA